AAGGACAGAAAGCAATTATGACAAATGCGCGGGGTAAGGTCCGCCGGGGAAGACCCCACGAAGGCAAAGACCAAGGAACACGAACCATGTGCCTGAGAAAACTGCAAGGTTGCCTAAGACACACAAATGACTAACTTCCTGTGGTCACCGCGTAGGTCACAGTGACCACTCTCACGGAGCGTTTCAGGTGGTATTATGCCAATTTGGGAACGGACGTAAAGAACGTTAGGGGGCTTGCCCAAGGCCTCACCATCAGTAATTTACCAGGAGAACAAAAAAACAAAAGTCTGACACCTGATCCAAGGCTCCTTCCACTACTATTTATGTATATCACTGGGGCTGAAGTTGGGATATTTTCAATTTCGTTAGCAATGTAAATTTAAGAACGTTCCTATTAAATCTGTCACAAAACAAAGGATTAAGAACCACACCACTATATTTGATTCCATGTCTTTAGAACAGTTGTGCCCAGAATGTTATGATTACGCCTATTTGTGTAAAAAACAAAAGTCATTGTACAAACAGCTCCAACATTTATTTATAAACCTTATAGAGGCACAGGGATACTAATATGTAATGTAAAAATTCATGAACATAACATTTTGTTCTTGCTTTCCAATAAATCATCTTGTAACCTAAAGGTACATACTACCACTCAAGTAATGTTTTACTTAAAACCTTTTATATAAAAAACAGTAACAAACAGGGGCACCTGGGTGGCTCAGTTGGCTAAACGTCTGACGTCAGCTCTGGTCATGATCCCAAGGGTCGTGGGTTTGAGCCCTGCATCAGGCTCTGTGCTGACAGCTCAGAGCCTGGAGCCTGCTTCAGATTCTGTGTCTCCCTCTCTCTCTGCCCCTTCCTTGCTCATACTCTGTCTCTCCCTCTGTCTCAAAAATAAACAAACCATTAAAAAATATTTAAAAAAACAATAACAAAAAATTACTTACACACGAACATCACATAACTGAATAAGACTGACAAAAAACATTAAATTCAAAACTTTACCCGAAGTAAGCGTAGGGACCTGCATTGGAACAATGGCAAAGTTCCCATGTTTGGGCCAAATAAAATGGGGAGCCATACTGGAAAACCGTCCGGCAGTTCCTCAAATGGTCAAGCATACAGTTACCATTTGGCCTAGCAATTCCACTCCTGAGGATATACCGAAGAGAACGAAAGCATGTGCTCACGCAAGAACTTGCGCACAAATGTCAACGGCAGAAATAGTCACAGAAGCCAAAAGGGGCAAACAACCCAAATGTCCATCAACTGATGAACGGGTAAACCAAGTGTGGGGCTGCATGCGATGCGGTATTATCTAGCCACAATACGAAGTGCTAACACACACCGCGACATGGGTGAGCCCTGAAAACATTATACTAAGTGAAATCACCAGGCACAAAAGATATTTCATATTTACAGATGCATTTTTATGAAATGTCCAGAACAGGCGAATCCATACAGACAAAACATAGATGAGTGGGTTTTTTTTGGGGGGGGGGGGGGGGGGGGGGGGAATGAGAACATAAACAGTGAGAGCTAACGGGTACAGGGTATCTTTTTGAGGTTCTAAATGTTCTCAAATCAACCATGATGGTGAGGACACATATCTGTGAATATATTAAAGCCACTAACTTGTACACTGTAAATGGGTGAATTGCAGGTTATGTGAATTCTATCTCAATCTAAATAATGCTGTCCAAAAAAAAAAAAAAATGAGATGGGAGGAAGTACCCATCTCTCTTCAAACAAGGTCTAGGAAGCCTGGAGAATGCTGGTGTGCATGGGCAGAGGGATGGAAGGAGCACTCGCTCTAAGTCAGGCTGCAAATTAAGGTACTGAAAGCTGAAAGGGGAAACAGAGAGCAAATAAGAGGCATACTGAATATGTGTGCCTAAAGTAGGTATAGAGAAGAGAGAGGAAGAAGTGAAAATGCCACAGCAGAACTATCTAGAAAAAGAAAAGAGAAAAAAAAAAAAAAACGAAACCAAGGACTGGTAAAGACAACATCATCAATGTGATGGCAACCAGTAACTGGGCACCGGTTCCCAGACCCTACACCCAGAGGTCAGACACCCACCCTTCTCTTTAAACCAGCACCGTGAGGGAGGTTCTGCTGGTCCCAACGAACAAACAAAAATAAACCCTTCAACACTTGCAATATCTGTCCGTGTGTCCCTGAGTTACCTCTCTGACCTCCTTATCTATTACCTCTACATCCCTACACCTCTATACCATTCTGCACCCCTCCCCTACACTCCTCTATAGTCTTCGGCACTGCCATCTTTATTCAAAAGTACCTTTGGAATGAGACTTTCCTCATCACCCTTTTTAAAACTGCATCCCTAAGGTGCACCCTATCCTCATTTACTGCTCTATTTTTTTTTTTCCTCCAGAGTACTCACCTATTATCTTAGCCATCGTCATCGGCTCATAACTAACACTTGCATGCAGTTTAGTAGGTGCCTGGAACTGTTCTAGATTTTCTATACACACACACACACACACACACTTGATCCTTCTAACAACCTATGAGGTAGATAGAACAACACTGTTTTCATTTTACAGATGCAGACCCGACGCACAGCCAATAAAGGGGAGCATTGCACACCCAAGCAGTCTTGCTCCCAAGTTCACATTCTTACCCGCAACAGCACAGGGATGAAGGAAAGACCTTTAAATCTCAGAGATTCAAACGTTTCTGGAGAATATCCAAGTTTATCAAGCACGAAGTAGCTGCTGGCAATGTCAGTGACCTTGGCCCAAATCTCCACAGAGACCGAGTTTAAACGAAGAGTGAGCCAGCAGGAAAAACAACACAAAACAAAGAACAGGTTTTATGTAGGTCATAGGACAGTTCAAGTGATTTGACTGTTTAAAACACTCTTAAAATGTGCATAAATAAAAGCTCAAGTCTCCCGACCTACCGTATGTAAAACAGCCGTCCCAAGAGCTGTCTTCTAAAAACAGCTTCCAAAGAAAGAAAGAGAGAATAGGGAGTTACTTTACATATGTTCCCAGGACACTTGTTTCCTGACCCACTATAGATTGTTGAAATAAGAGAATGTAGAAGAGCCTAAGGATTAAAAAGAATCCCACACCGCCCTTCAGTCTTCATCACCTGAAATCAACTAGAGCAGAGCACCTGTTGGCCATGGGTGCTTTTCAAGGTGACCTGCCCCCAAAACTTTGAGGTCCAATTTACATTTATCTCTTTCAGTAAATGTAAAACTAAGGATCCAAGAACAGAACTAAAATATTTTTTTAATTTTTCTTTTAGTGTTTATTTATTTTTGAGAGAGAGAGAGAGAAACCGAGTTGGGGAGGGGCAGAGAGAGGGAGACACAGAATCTGAAGCAGTCTCCAGGCTCTGAGCTGTCAACACAGAGCCAGATGTGGGGCTTGAACCTATGAGACATGAGATCATGACCTGAGCTGAAGTTGGATGCTTGACCGGCTGAGCCGCCGAGGCGCCCCTAAACCAAAATATTTTTTTAAGGAATTTTCAAACATTAGTTGTTGAGCAGATCATATTTAAGTGTGTAGATCATTTCAGCTGCTTCTCCTTTGTCATTTTCCAGCCTACTGTTAACGACAACAAAAACACCTGCCTCTGAGACTTCCTTTTACCTGCGGCAGTATTTCCCTTTCACAGTTCACACGTGAGAAATAAAGCATCATTCAATATAGGATTATTATTACTATCTTGTGGATGAGAACACTGAGGCCTAGGAAAAGGAAGTGAAGACCACACACAGCAACTGAGCAGCAAGCTCAGCACTGGGAGCCTGGAACCTTGCTCCAGAGCCCCCCAATCTCACCCTCATGCTTCTGTATGTGTAAGATACAACAGCACAAAAAATTAAGGGGGGGAAAAAAAGAGTCCCAATCAAATATAATTTTTATGCCAATCTGAGAAATTCCTCACTTACCAGCTGTGTGACCTTGGGCAAGGCACTTAACCTCTCTGTGCTTCAGTTTTTTTTACAGATTGTTGTGAGGACTTAACGAATTGTAACATGCATATCTCAGTCCGACAGACACTATTCCATAAAAGTTGGCTTTATCATCACCGTAAGTGCAATTTTACAGACTTAGACTTCAATGTATGACAGCACAATTAAGGAGACCTAGTTTTATTTCCCAACTTTGCAAATGAGTCATCTTTCAAGTCTTTTTAATTACAATGAAAACTCGGGACGCCTGGGTGGCTCAGTCAGTTAAGCCTCCGACTTTGGCTCACATCACGATTTCACAGTTCATGGGTTCGAGCCCCACGTCGGGCTCTGTGCTGACAGCTCAGAGCCTGGAGCCTGCTTCAGATTCGGTGTCTCCTGTCTCTGCCCCTTCCCTGCTACAGCTCTGTCTCTCAAAAATAAGTAAATGGTAAAAAAAAAAAATGACAACGGAAAAACAATCAGAGGTCTTGGTAATATTGACTTGCACACCTTACTTATCTCTTTAGAAAGGATACAATATGACACACAGGCATTACTATTGCTCATGTTTATAATCTCTGGAAGGCTTGACAAGCTTATTTAAGAAGAACTGCTTCAATTTTAACAGTAATGCAACCAACCATGTGACTCTTTCCTTTCCATATGAGAAATACGAATCTAAATTTAGTAACAAGGGAAACTATTCTAATTTGACAAAGCTATTCTTTGTGTGCCCTCAGACAGGTGGGGAAAATGTGTTCGCGAGCAACGCAGTCTTTCTTGACCTCTTTGCTTATCCTCCTCTAAAGATCATTCCAGTTAAAACGCTTTTTCTTGCACGTTTATCCTTGGTGCTGGCAGTCTTCCCTGCGTCAGAAAACACGACCTCCAACTTCAGAAGGCTAAGGATGTTTTCAGAGTCATGACGAGCATCTCAAATCAAATCTAACCCCCAGAGGCCACGACCGGTTTTCATCAACTTGCCTAGCATCTCCCTCCGGCCCTAAAGAAGATGAGGAAGGCACAGTTCCTGAACCCTGAGGTCACACTGATGCGCAGCGTCAGGCAGTACTGCTCGCAAGAGGGCCCAGAACGAAACACTGAGGAACAGCCACACCCGGACATCGTGGGCAGGTAAGCGGGAAAGTGCCCGCACTACCCTGAAGGTGCTGCCTTACCTCTGCTCCAAACGAGGTTCTGCTGGCGGCCAGGAGGGAGGTGTGCGCAGCAATGTGGTGATACCTTAATTTATAGAAACCACACTTCTGCTTTTCAAAACCCTACTCTTCCTCCAGTTACCGTCCAGTGAGGTAGGGCAGGGATCACCCTGCTGCTTCTCACACAAACAAGGTTTCTTGACTTGCCCAGACCTCACTGCTGCTACTCAGCCTTTCAGGACAGAGTCCCCGGAACCCAAGGCTGCAGACCCTCGGTCCTTTGCGCTCTCCCAACATACCGCCAGTTCAGAGATCCTTCCAAGTGCCATTGCAATAACACAGTAAGCACGGTTCCGGAATCTACCCCTTCCTTATCGTCTTGATTCCCATTCGGGCTACATAACCCCTCTTCCGGCGGTTCTCCACATTCTCCAGGCTGACGGTATCAATGTGGCAGGAGGGTGGCGAACCTCACCGCGGCCACCGGCAGGCTGGAGCGGGGTGGGGGTGCAGCGCCGCTTTCCCCTCCGCAGTGTCAGCAGGTGGACTTCTCGGTGGGCGCTGGGGACCACATAACCGGCCGTGCGCTCACTAACCCAGCTCGGTTAAGTAACAGAAAGTTTATGGGTTTGGGCCACCAGCCATCCATACATAGGGCTGGGTGTGTGCGGAGGGGGTCCTCCGCGGGCCTTCGCCATCTGTGCGCGCGCTTTTGGGGAACCGAGAAAAGCCTGCGCGCCCGGAGCGCGGTGCCTGGGGGCACGCAGGGCGCAGGCTTTGGGCTCACTGACCGTCGCCCGGCGCTGAAGTGTCTTCGAGGTTCCGTTCCTGAGCCTTCCGGATCCAAGCCGAGCACGGGATCGCCCCCTTTCGCCAGGTCGATTCCATAAAAACCCGCCACCCCTGCAGAGCAGCCCCCTCCTCCATTCGCCCAGTGGCCTCGGCACTGCCCGGCCCCTGCCCCGGCGTGCCCCCGAGCTCGCGCACGCCTCTCCGGAGCCCCTCGCCCCTCCCCCCCTCACCGCTGCAGCAGCCACACCGCGCCGGCGTTACCCACCTCCGGCGCCCCTCGCGCCCCCGGCCCGCTCACCCCCGCTCATCCCCGCTCACCAGGTGCGCGCATCGCGTCGGCTCCCGGCTCGCTGGGCTCCGGGCGCGCGCCACCGCGGCGGAAAGAGGGAGCGAGGAGGGAGAAGCGGCGCCCTGACGCTGCCACGCCGCCGCCACCCCACCCCCATCGAAATCCCGGGCCACCGCAGCAATTCGAGAAGGTCCCCGAGGAAGCGAAGCGCCGCGGCCGGGCCTGCAGCCGGCGAGGAGACGCGGAGGACGCGAGCCGGAAGGAACTGCGGCCCCCGCGCTGCCCCCACCGCCGCGGCCGTGTCCTCGGCCGCCCACCCCCGAGCCGGGTGACGCGGGCTGGGACAGCCGGGGGCCGCCGTGCTCCCCTCCCCCAGCGTTCCCTCCCGAAATCACGCCGTTCCCTCGCTGGGGGGAGCGGGGGGCGGGCTGAGCTGCAAACGCGCTTTCTGGGGTTGAAATACCGAGATGTCCGCAGACCTGGCGGACGCGAATTCCCAGCACCCCACCCCCTCCCCCGGACAGCGGTATTTGGCGTTCAGCGCAATTGCCTGAGAGAACGCGTGATCCTGCCGAGTATTCGGGATTCGTCCGCACAGAGATCTACGCGCCCGACCGAGACCTAAAGCTTCCCCCGAGCGTGACCTCAGCGGGCTGCTCCGCGCGGAGCCCCACGACGGCGACTTCCCTGGCAGCCTCCGTCCTACCTACTCCTCACCTAGTCCTCTGGAAGCGAGGGGTGCCGCGGGTTGCGTCCAGATCTAGCTGGACGCTGGCGAGAAGCTGCCAACCAAAACAGAATGTTGTCACGCTCAGACACCGAAGCCCTGACCGTTGGTAGGGCTGAGTGCACGGTGTCCCTTCGCCCCTAGGGAGGCTGAACACGCTCTGCCAGCGCCCTAACCTCTCTTGGGGGAAGAATCTCGCAGTTACCTGCCCCGGTAGCAACAGGCAGCGGGGTGAGCCGATCTAGGATTACTTAAAAGACTCCCTTCTGCAGGGTAAGCCAACGGCATCGCACCCCCCTTGGTTCTTTGGCTTTGTCCTGGGTCACCTCCAGGTGTGGAACCAGCTCACGGGTATGTTGGGCTTTATTTGCTGGATGTCTCTTTGGAACACGCTTTTCCTGGCACAGCCTAGACTGGAGTGGATAAGGGGCGGCGTCAGGTAGTCTCTGATCCTATGTCAGAGTCTGGTAACACTAGCTGTCCATCACCCGACTTAACACTGAGCACAGCCTGTTCGGAGCCTAGAACCGCTTAGACCGGAAAGGACTCTGAACTTTTGGGGTCCTGTTTCAGGAATTCGGATTGGCTGAAGACAGACTGGGAAGGGCTTACATTATACTAAAAAGAAAAATGTTGTATATGTAGGCTCGGGTACTTTTACAAATTATTTTTGAGCCATCCTATCAATATTCCGGAATGTCATTTGTTTCCACAGATTCTTCCTCTGTTGTCTTAAAGAGGTGAAGTTACTTGCCCAAGGTCACACGGTTAGTAAAGCACAGTTAGGCTCTGAAGACCGATGTCTCTAACAACCAAAACTTATGTCCAGTGTTCACCATGCTACACAGAAAAATAATGAAATCGAGGGGCGAAGCATGAGAATTTCCAAGCAATAATTAAAAGAGGAAAGGAATCAGGAGGAAGTGGACAGAAAAAATGTCATGCAAAGTAAACCAGTAAGTCTACTATTCAAAGGAAAAAAAAAAAAAAAACCCACCAACAGAAACCAAACTGTACTAGGTGGTAGACTGGACAAATCCAAGGCAAAGAAAGCATTCTTGTAGGGACACTAGGAGATTTTAGACCAAGATGGTAAGATTTGGTCAGTCCCCTTTGAAGTCACTTTGGAATCATCTTTATCAAAAGTAAATAGGCTGGCCTATGCCCTGTTATGTGGGCATCCTATAAACTTGAACATCCACATTCAACATCCAATCACAAATAAAGGAGGCCACATTCTGCAAGCTTCTCTCTACAACTAAGAGAGAAAGCTCAAGAACAGGTGTTTCAAATAAGGAATACTGGAAATCGACTGTCCCCTCTGAGATTAGAGTTCTGGAGGTAGAATTTCCTAAGTCCTAAATGCTGAGTTTGGGCTTTCCAAGACTGCCCAATCAATTGTTCAATGCTGAGAAAGTCACTGATAATTACAAGCCAAAAACCACTCAGGAAAAGCAGAGGTTGGTTTTCTTTTTCATGGGGAAGGTCATCTTCCAGGTCACAGTGCCCTCCACGCCCTGGGGCCCCAGGGCAGTGAGCATATCAGGAACAACTCACGGCTTCATCTAACTGGGCTCCTGCCCAGCACCCATTGGTCACACACAAGTCTCCATTGTGGCCAGGACCAGCCTCATAGGGGAGCAGAAGCCTGGCAGCTGCCCTTCCAAACCCAGCCAGACTTCACAAGACGTGATTTGTGCCATGAGCAGGGACGCGACCCTGTTGTTGAGCTCAGCTAACGAAGTCAGCAAAGGAGAAACCAGTCTCCGTGCAAAACAGGAACGAAATGAAATGAACTGCCTCGTAAGCTACGAAAAGGAGTCTGCTGACATCATGACTTTCAGGGAAGAAGGGATGATGCTACATGTGAGGGAAGTCAGCATGTGACAAGGGGTAAAAGAACCAGGCTGCACTAGGCTTGTCTCAGTTTCTTTTCCTCCTTCCTGTGTGTCTGAAACCTCCATTATCCACAAAGGACAGATTTGTATGATGATGCTACTTACGTGAGGAACCTAGAATAGGCAAACTCATTGAGACAGAAAAGAGAATAGAGGCTACCAGAGACGGGAGGAGTGGAAATGGGAAATTATCATTTTGTGGGTACAGTTTCTGCTTGGGATGATAAGAAAGTTCTGGAGATGGATAGTGGTGATGGTTGCACATTATTGCAAATGTACTTAATGGCACTGAATTGGATACATACAAATGGTTAAAGTAGTAAATTTTATGTTCTGTATATTTTACCATAATAAGGTATATGTGTATGTATGTATATACATGTATATAAATATATATTGAAAATCCATAGTATATGTTATATATGATATATACATTATATATATGTAATATTATAAACATATATAAATATATTTAAGATGTATCATCGGGATGTAATACTTCTTTGGAGTAAAAGCCCAAGGGAAAGCAACATGCTAAGATAAGAGATGCCTTCTGGCCCCGGAAACTCTTTGAATTTTCATAAGTCTTGCCCTATTTTGCTTTCCTTTAGGGTGCCAGAGCCTAGCTTTGGGTTTGTCGTGCTCCTCATTCAAAAGGAAGAGTAATCCTGCCACTTTACTACTTGCTTCTGCCGGTGATAGGTAGCTGGGGGTCTGTGAGGGCATGTTCAGAAATGCCATACCCTGAAAGAGGTTCTACCTTTCAGAGACAGAGGAAGCTAAAATATGTTTTAAAAAACACAACATTTAACTGAGTACATTTAAAGATCTGATTGACTTTATTCAATGATTCGTGAATCAGGCTCACAGAAGGGAGCTCTGTACAAAAAGGGAAGGTTTTTAACGGCAGAAAGGGGGTGGGACAAGGAAGCCATAAACAAAAGAAAGGATGATTTCCAGCAAGGTCACTCTCCTCTGAGGGACAGGCAGGGGGCGGGGCTTCTCACCCAGTCTAAGCTCACTAGTGCCATCAGTTCATTCCAGACTGATTGGAGGGCGCGTTCAAGGCGTAGCTGAAACTGTAAGGAACTCTTGGTTTACTCTTGTGGGGGCAAAGGACTCCATTTCGAGCCTGTTTCCCCTTTCGTCACGAGCAAAAGTATTTTGTCACGAGCAAACCTTGATCCCCAGGGTCAGCCTGTTTGGGTGGAAATGGCAAGAGGAAGGACACGTGCCTTGGGTCTGACGGAAAACCAGTAAACCTTGTCCTTAGCCCCCCCTCCTCCTCTCCCCATCCTCTTTGAAGATGCCCTTAGTTAGCGGGACTAGTAGAACCAGAAGCTGCACCTGTTCTGTGGTCTCTTTTCACAAGAAATGTGGTATACGTAAAAATGTGGGGTCCCACATGAGTGCAAGGGTACCCAGTAATCTGCTGTTTGAACTGAAACAGTAAGCTGTTTGTATTCTGTCTTGCCCTCTGGATTGTCGACCCAGGGGACCTTACTCAGTTCTGAGTTACTTCTCCCACAACTCCCTCCCCCCAGACCTGGCCCTGTACTTCACATGTTTCTTGTGTTCCATGTATTTGCTAACTGTTCATGTGGCTTGCGGGGTGTGATTTGAATGCCATCCCTTGAAAGGGAAAGACATGAGGCTAAGATTATCCCATGTTTGGAAACACTTGAAGTGTCCAACATTTAGTTTCTTAGTCAACATTTAAAGTGTTCTTTACTATGATCTCAGCCCAATTTCCAGTCTCTTCTCTCACTCGTGTCTCAATTATGCTAAGGCTCTCAATGGCCCACCAATTGCTGTGAGGACATACTTCACTGTTTCCTACCTTTGTGCCTCAAGCCGTCAACCACATTTTACGTTTTTCACGTCGTCTTCCCAGAGACGACCTGGTACCTCAGTATTTCTTGCCTGACATTTTGTTAGTCTTTCTGGTAGCCTTCTGGCCCAGTATAGGTAATTCCTTATGTCATTTCCACATGGGCTGTTTGATAAGGAAAGGCTAAAATGCCTAGATTCAATCCTGTGTGGCTGGTAGGAATCTTTCTCTGGAACTTGGATACGAAAGAAAGAGAAAAGAAAAGAAAAGAAAAGAAAAGAAAAGAAAAGAAAAGAAAAGAGAAAGAGGGAAGGAAAGAAAGAAAGAAAGAAAGAAAGAAAGAAAGAAAGAAAGAAAGAAAGAAAAAAGAGAAAAGAAAAGAAAAACCTTATTTTTCTAAAATTGTTTCTACATCAAATTAAGTTGACTTGGTATCCCCACTTGAAAAGGTAGCAGGAAAAAGGTGCCATGTGTTAGCGAGACTTGCTCCCTCCCTAAAGTTTCTCAAGAGCTCAAGTGCCTATGTAACATTTCTGGTCTCTTCCATCATGGTCACTAGAGAGATCCTCATTTTTGAAATTTACTAATTTGAGCAGTGCCATCACTCTATACCAAGTGTGGGTACAAGGGTCCTTCACCAGGCTCTTAGGGATTCAGTCACTCAGCATTCAAATGCTGCCCCTTCAGAGAGTCTATCCCTCTCTCACAGACCCTTTCTGCCCTTCCCATTAAAAAACAAAAAGGCAGGGGTGCCTGGGTGGCTCAGTTGGTTAAGCATTGGACCCTTGATTTCAGCTCAGGTCATGTTCTCACAGATTGCGAGATAGAGCCCTGCATAGGACTCTGCGCTGACGGGCTCCCGCTGTGGGATTCTCTCCCCCTCTCTCTAGCCCTCCCTCATGCGCATAGGAACACACACACACACACACACACACACACACACACACACGCGCGCGCGAGCTCTCACTTTCTTTCTCTCTCTCTCAAAATAAATAAACTAAAAAAAAAAAAATCTTCTCTTTGAAGAAGCCACTTCCCACTCAGGCAACTCCTGCCTTTCTGCTTACCATACCACACAATCCAACTAAATTAAATGCACAATGCCTTAACTCTGCCCTGGGGTACTCCAAGCCCTACTGATCCTCTTAGGGGCAGGGAGATTAACACAAAAGTGGTCTCAATTCCTTTGGATTTTTCTGCAAAGCACTAATAATAAAACAAGTGCATTTCTTAATAAGTTATCATGAACAATAAAATACAAATACTTTTCTCAATAAATTATTTTGCCACATTAAGTTACAATCTTTTAATATGCCAGTAAAATGAATACCGAGGGAGACTAGCTCTCTGTCGCAGAGATGGATCCAACCAACACCTTCTCCCTCTCTCTCTCTCTCTCTCTCTCTCTCTCTTTTTAAAAAAATTTTTAATGTTGGCACCTGGGTGGCGCAGTCGGTTAAGCGTCCGACTTCAGCCAGGTCACGATCTCGCGGTCCGTGAGTTCGAGCCCCGCGTCAGGCTCTGGGCTGATGGCTCAGAGCCTGGAGCCTGCTTCCGATTCTGTGTCTCCCTCTCTCTCTGCCCCTGCCCCATTCATGCTCTGTCTCTCTCTGTCCCCAAAATAAATAAACGTTGAAAAAAATTTTTTTTTAATTTTTAATGTGTATTTATTTTTGAGACAGAGACAGAGCGTGATCAGGGGAGGGGCAGAGAGAGAGGAAGACACGAATGTGAAGCAGGCTGTCAGCACAGAGCCTACGATGTGGGGCTCCGGCCCACACACTGTGAGATCCTGACCTGAGCCCAAGTCAGAGGCTTAACCGACTGAACCACCCAGGGGCCCCTTCTCTCTCTCTTTTTTGATTCATTTCACTAGCCATTAAGTCATTCAGCTTGACTTGATGCTCTAATTTCGTGCTGTCCTTACGAACTTCTATTTAAAAGTAGATGTGCCTGTCAATTTGCCTACAGGGAAAGAAGGTGCTGACCAGCCACCATGGGCGTTCTCACCGACTCCATTACCCTGAAGTTATATTTTTCATAGTAAATAGTCACAAATTATCATTCCTTCTTGCCTATTAATCTCCAGTGAGTTTGGCCAAATTAAATCAGATCCTGTAATAGGGAGAGGAATCGTCCCCCAAAGACGCCCACATCCTAATCCCCAGAACCTGTAATTATGTCATGTTACACGGCAAAGGAGAATGTAGTTTGCAGATAGAATTAAGGTTGCCAAGCAACTGACTCTGACAGGAGAAGATTATCCTAGACCATTCACATGTCCCAGTGTAATCACAAGGGTCCTCATAAGTAA